GGCGCTGAGAACATTAGGTTGAAGCATCAAATGGACATCTCAGTCTACTCTTCCATAACCATTTCCAACAGATAATAATTCTCACGAACCTAAGTTGCGTCTAGCTCTTGCCTCCCTATCCCTTCAACTTAGAAGACTCCATTTTCTCCAGTTTCTCATTCATTGTGATCATTGGTTTCATGAATGTCTCCTCCCTGTGACTGTTTGCAGTGCGGTCGGATGTCATTTTGCGTAGACTGGGTATTAGTCTCACTCTGCTGCTCTATCTTTGGCTCAGTGACTTTAGGTCGATTACGCCTCGAACGCGACCGTAGAAGCAAGATGATCGACTATATGATGAGTACTAGCCCTACAATTGGTACAGCGATGCTGATGATGAGAATGTGGGCAGGGGTAAGTACTCGCGTATGTGCTGCTATAGTTGTATTTGAAGTTACAGTGACCGCGTTCATAAATGAATCAGGCGCAGCGCTAAAGCAGTGACTATTGAAAGCTGCTACCGCTCGATACACCTCTGCTGGCTATTAAGGATTCGTGATCGTTACACGAGCAGTGGAATGGCATTGAGTAAAGACCCGGCTCGAGATTTCTGACGAAAAGTGACTTTATGTATACATCAGTCTGTAGTTCATGACAGGCTTCTATACCGACGCCTGCCTACTTGATGATACACAAAAGCACCAGTAGCTGGTTCATCTTCCTATATCTCTACAACCATCCACCATACCTATAACGATGCTGCTGAGGAAATTGCAATTAGCCTCCTGGCTATATATAGGTAAAAATCATGCATGGAATGATTGCGCCACATGTTGTACTATCTGAACTAAATCTATATTGGTCGGCAGTCTTATAGCTGGATCAATGAAACGACCGAGATCTGCAAGATCGATCTTAATAGAAAGTGTTCGAAGTCCATTTGCATCCTTGGACTGTTGCATTCAATGATTGAATAGTAGCGTTTAGTCAATAAAGGTCCACACTTAGCATATGAACTTTGAGAACAGGCATGCTATCTCCAAACATGTCTAATCTCCTCAGGAGTTTTATGGGATGACAACTTATCGAGAACTTAGATACGTAATCCCATCTACTCTGTATAACTTAGATTACTTTTAAAAACCTAACCTTTACAAAAGGTTTCCGGGCACAAGCTGCATTACAAAAGCTTCGAGATCTAGTAAGGCAAGTCGCAAGGCTAACTTCAGCCTCGTGGTGTCGTCACTTTGCATCCGAATTCGCCACTCGCGGCACTCTTGAGCGTCAGCCTTCCTGAATCAATTTCTTCTTTTACCCCGCCTCCCCACTCATCTTTTTAGCCTACTTGGATTTTGAATTCCCCCAATTTACGTCAAAGATGGACCCGTTCTCCGTTGCTGGTTCGGCCGTCGGCGTCACCTCTCTCGGGCTGCAAGTATGCCAGGCTCTAATCCGATATTACGGGAATTTTCGGAGTTTTCACGATGAGATCGACGCGGTTGTAAGACGAACGGAAAGCCTGATGGAAAACTTACAAGCGCTGGAATCGTTGAAGGTCCGGATGGGAAATGATGAGGTATCTGTAAGACTACAAAAAACCATGGATACAGTAACGCTGGCGCTCAATAGATTAAATGAGCATGCGAAACGATGTGGAGAGGCCGGAGTACCCGACAACCCGCGAGCTCGAGCAAGGCTTGTGACGAAGAGGTTATTGTGGCCTTTTCGGCAAGACACATTACTCTACCTCCAGGATACGCTGGACCGAACGCAAGCGAATCTAGCGCTTGCTTTACAGATTCTAGGGCTTGGAGTTGCACACGTTCATCTAGAAGCTCTAGAGGAAGTCAAGAATACCTTGATGAACCAAAATGACATCATCGAGATCGAACGTGGAAATCGGTCCATCGAGGTAGATTTGATTCACAATCAGTCATCTCGGCTTTCATCGCAGCTTTCTGCCATCGAGCGCAAACTTGACCTATTGGTAAGAACCTACTTGAAAAGATCATAGAGCCTTTCACTAAAGTATAGAAGGTCTTACCCAACGTGAGCGCTATATATCTCGGCGGGTTACGTTATTCCTCTTCAAATGAGGTCGGCCATGTCGAAACGTTGCTCCCTTTGCTGAATCAAAGTGCCGAAAGCCATCGAAAGTCACTTCGAGAGATCGGGCATTGGAAGAGCATGCAAAGACCAAAATGTCATTGTCGCTATTACGCGCGGAAGCAGGTTCAAATCAAGTCTAGTGTCTCACGCTGGTTCTTATTGCCTATCCACACCGAAGAGGCGTCGGACCATTTTCCGAGCTGCCCATATTTTGCAAACGCCAATCACATGCATACCATCGAAGCACAGTTCATTTTAAGAATTACACGAACCTGGAATTATCATGTGAAAGCGGGCTGGATTTACGCTCAAAGATCAAGTTGGTCGACCATCTCACCTGTGTTGCGTTTCCGTCCCGTGGTTCCGACCAGCTCGCCAGGTTTCAAACCTCTCCAAGATTTGATATTTGAAACTTTGCAAAGATCCATTAGAGAAGGGCCTTTTACTGACAGGCACAAGCGGGAGTGGAAATTTCTGCTTTCACAAGCGTTGAACACGGTCAGGAACAACTTCAAGCAGCAGCGAGCTAGTCCACTCGATGTTGGAGCAGACGGGCGGAGTATACTGAGTGTGAGTCATCGTTCTTGGTTTTCAGATGTTTCAACATCCTAAATTGAGTAGTACGCTTTCGAATTAGCGCTCTTTCTCTGTGTAGTGGGATTACTTGAAATCAATGAAGTTCATATTTTCTTAAATGACCTGGAAACTATGGGACTTACATTAAACAAACAAGGGGATTGTACAAGGTAGGCAACACTTATAGATCACAACAATCTCGCTGAACACACCACTAGGGATCTGCTTCACTATAACAATAGCCACATTTTTGGACTGCTCTGTGATAAATACGACGAACAAAATATGGCTCTCATTTACTCGCATGTCATACGTAAAGCGGGAAGTTGGAGCCTCCCTGAATTTTCCTCACTATCGAAGAGATCGCAAAAATTCTTCGATGTCACACATAAACTACTCTTACTCGAAGAATACGATATAGGTATGCGCCAAGTGCTTATTGATATGCTTAGTTGACGTTTTACAGCCTTCGAGGAAGATTCCCCCCTCGTCTCCGCCATTGTCCACAGATCGATGCCTGAGCTCCTGCAGATACTCCAATTAGAGCCGCCATCTTCAATCCACACTAGTCTTGAGTTCAAGAGAGCCTTATCCGCTGCAGTATCATGGCCATGTGGACTGGGACTACTTTTGTCCAATCTACCTGGAGGCTTGTCTATCTTCGATGAGAACGAGAGCTTTCTTATTCACGATGCACTGAGGTGCGGAAATGGAGAATCGATACACATCCTTCTGCGAAACAACGTCTCCGTCACTTACAAGTCATGGATCACTGCTTGCGACTATCAAGACCTCTTTGAAGTAGAGACACAAAAAGAGATCTTCACATACATGGCTACGTACTTGGCAAAGACTGGATGCAATTTTCCACTATACTTCACACATAAGCTGTCCAGAACCGCCGCTCAATGTCTTTGGGATGCAGGGTTTCCGCTAAACGATGACGCATGCTACTCACCATTGTGGTCTCAGTCTAGGTCTGTGGTTCACCCACCATTGTCATGGGGAGCTACGGAACCGCTTCTGGAGTGGTTTGTTAGTAAAGGGTGTAGCCTTCACTGGGTTCATCCGCAGATACTCACCACTCCAGCCCACGCCATCGCGCGAGAGTTTGCACGGGCATGGGTTTACGCTTCTGTTGAATTAAACTGCCCATCACCAACGTGTAGTGGGTTTATGATGACTATTCTACTTCGCGAGAATCGTGACGTCTGCCGCTGCCACTGTTCCGAAGGTGGATGCCCTATTATTGGATGTATTACGAAGAGGAACCTTTGGAATCCCCATAGCAGGACTAGTGGCTTTCCCCAGGAATTGCTAGCAAGACAAAGAGAGAATTTGATCCTGCGTCTCGTCTATGCCTTAGTAGATTCGCATGATAATCATCATTGGATGGGGCCTGCAATTATTCGAATCCTCACTTTCGACGAATTGAACCTTACCCACACCTGCTGTTATATGATACACGGAGAATTTTTATGGTCTTGGCGACTGAACTGTAAAGAGAGAGACGAGACACACTTCGTAGAAATGAAGGACATTAAGCTTTTGGAAGATCTTATGCAAGAGTTCAAGGCCAAGTGGGAAGCACACACCGGCAAATTTCACGAATTCATCAACGACATCTGGAGGCCAAGAATGAAAGAAGTGTGCGGTGAAATCTCTGATATTGATAAATCGCAAATACAGAGAATCAAGGATCTTGGAGTGAACCTTGATGAGGTTGAAAAGGAGGGCGTATCAGATTAATCGAGGAATCCCTTGGTTATATACTTACATGAGCTTTATTACTAGAATTCTCCTCTTTGACGGTAGTTTGTTAGGTTTAAATACCTTCAGCGTCTTTCGTAGTGATCAAATTGATGGCTGGTTCTTCTGGTCGCATTGTACGCTCAGTCGAGAGACGTTGCATAAAATCGGTGCGAAAAGATCTTCACTCAAACACAATACGACAGAAACGGCGTTTGTATGCGAATTAGACCCAAAGGTTGAAGTGTTAGACTCGTCGTGCGCGGAGATCGTGGTCCGCTACCTTCATCCATGGATAGTTGCTTACCGGCATCCATACGTGATTCTCCTGCTCATCCCTTTCGCACCATACTTTTAACACTAAACGCAACAAGTCACTGGGCATAATAATACTTGCTGAGGATTTATATTGAAGCAACTATTAGAGACCTGGTATACAAATAATATAAAATAGTGTTAGGACTCAGATCAATGAAATAATATATAGCCGTATACTCAACGCCACGTCAAGATTACTGGAAAGAATTGGCTACTAGTAAGTCGTTGTAGAGCCTTTGTACAATCTAGCAAACCATAGTGTTCGCCACACTCCCCTCCCAAACCGGCTCCCCAGGCGCAGTATACCCCTTCTTCCCCTGCTGAATCATCTACAACTCTATTAAAATACCCTGCTTATTATCAGGATTGTACGCACCCGGCAGCGAAACACCCTTTACAGTGCCGAAATCCACCTTCCTACCCCCACTAACCCTAATCTGCGTACAGCTCAGATAAAACTACGCACCCATGCTTTTCCCTACAACATGTAGCCCCAAGATCCCGTAGTGAAGAAGGCACCCGCCGTTAGCAACGGTGGGAGGAATAGTAACGGTCCAGGACGCGCCATTCTTAGCAAGACACCTAACCCCCTAATCCCTTAGACTCTTCTTTCCCGCGGAACCTATTGTTGGCAGCCCTTAGGCTCTTATGGTGTCAACGCGGTTGAAGTAATTTTTCCTCTTCTCGAGCAGCTGCAACTGCGACAGTGTTGCGATGAGATTGTCGGGTGTTAACTTGGTTGCCCTTTTCTCTTTCTTATCTCCCGCTTCGTCTGCCGTTGCTAAAGCTGCCCGAAGGGTTGGTATATCCTGGCGTTCTTGGAATCCTTGCGTGTCCCTTGTGGTCAGATGTATCGGAGCGCCTGCCTCTCTGCTTAGAGACATGTTAAGGAGCATTTGAAAGAGGTTGTCATTGCACCCTGCTCTGGGCCCAAAGGCTAACCTTGTCAGATCCTCGCAGACCTGCCTGGGCTGATAAATATCCTCGAATACGCCTGTCTTGTGCAATAGGACGTAGTTGCGTACTGCATTGGAGAGTACACCTACGGAGTTGAAGAACAACCGTCGGCGATCTTTGCTAGGGGCTAAGGCTGCGATGGGATGGGGTAAGCGGCGCGGAGTGGGAGGATATCTCAGTGGCAAGAAAAGAAAATTGAAGGGCTTGGGGCACTTTCATGTGGTATGTATGCATGCAGGGCCGTAATTCCTGCTCACCATCAAGTTTGCCCCCGACGCTAATACGCATCGCGTGAGAGCGCAGATCACCGCTAGAACCACTGACGAGCTATACTTGATGCCGCATGTTGTAGATTGGCTAGATGTGATTTCAAAGGTGGCGTGGTTAAGCATGTCTTATAACCAAATGCACTGGAGTGAAAGTCATGATCAACCTGATGATAATTGAGAGCTATCTAGGAGACATATATACATAAATGAGTGACTAGGTGGGTACGTAATCTGCTGACATAGTGATGGTCATTTGTTGAAGGCCTAAATGTGATGGAGGGCCTAAATGTGATGGAACGCCTAATTGTGATAGAGGCGCTCTCCGGTGACATGTCTTCCTTCTATTGCAATAGTAGGTAGTCTACAGCCTTGAGTATAGGTTAATGGAGTGGCGCTTAATAGAGGGAAAGTTATGTTTAAAGGTGTTGTCCTGGATCGCAAATGCAGCGATAAGGCTAGGTGTAGGTGGGCGAAGTCAAAGGAGAAGGAGGGGAGGACCCCGAAAGGGCCCCTCCCAGCGTAGGTTGACCTGTAATCCGCATGATTTCAGGACCTCTCGCAAGTATACGATCAGGGTTAAGCGCTGGGACCAAGCAAACTGGGGCCGCATAAAAGAGAGAGGAGGAAGGAGGGCCGGAGAGAAAGAGAGGTCTAGAAGACGACGATAGTAACAGCGGCACAGGCAGGGATGCATGGAGATGGGGAAAAAGAGTCTCTTCGCGAAAGAGACGGTTGAGGCGTGGTAGTAAGAAAGTGTAGGAGCCGCGAGAATCTTAGCAGACACAAGATTAGTACTTTAGCTAGTATTGATAACGAAGCGTTGTTGACTAGCCCTCTTCGAAGTTAAGATAAGTTAGAAGTAGAAATTGATTTATACCAAGCCGCTGTGAGCCGTCCTCGCAACGTGCTCCGCACTACTCGGCCCTACTAGCGTGACGGCCAGCTCACCTGAAGTGCGCTCGGGTCACATGATTGTCTGCCTGTTTTGGCCTAGTGCCCCGGCACTAGTCTATAAGCACCCCGGCCCTGCTTACCTTCATCAACTTTGTTCTAGAGTAGTCAACTTTAGCTATCTCAACTATCAACTCAAACGTCGATTCCAAGGATATGCTAGCCGTGACAACTAGGGTAGACAATTCTCTGAGATAGCCGTGCGTAGCACGGCCTACTAAGCTTAACGCAATTATAGGGCTTAACGTAATTATTAATAAATACTTAAATTATATACTAAAATAGCCCTTTTTAGATTAAATAAATTATAATTAAGACTCTAATTAATTACTAGAATCTTTAGTTAACGTGTTTTACCGAGTCAGCCAAACCACCAAGCCGGCCAGCCACCGCACTAATTTCGCGTCAACCATTAACTTAACGCGATGTCTCCACAACAACGTCCTATATGATCCCGAAAGACCCAGTATATTAACCTTGCTATACAAGCTATCGAATCCGACACGTTAAGCAATATACGAGCTACCTCTCGCGACTACGACACTCCTCGATCTACCATACAGGACCGACTCCACGGCCGCACCCCGCGCGAAGAAGCAGTAGCAAACTGCAAGAAGCTTACCGAACTCGAAGAAGATACGATAGTTGTACGTATACTGGAACTAGATTCAAGAGGGTTCCCGCCTACGAAGCCTATAATGCGGGCAATGGCCGACAAACTGCTAGTAGAGAAGGGTAGCAAGCTTGTAGGCATCAACTGGCCTGACAGGTTATTGTACGTAAGGAGAAGCTTAAAACGTGCTGGACTCGCGCGTACGATCGTCAGCGAGCCCCATGCGAAGACTCCGGCGTTATTGAGGCTTGGTTCAAGCTCTACAACTCTATCAAAGAGAAGTATGGTATCCTCTATGATACCTACAACTTTGATGAGACTGGCTTTATGATGGGCGTGATAACCTCTCAACTAGTTATCATAGGTAGTGAGAGGCGTGGGAAGCGGAATCTGTTCAGCCGGGCAATCGCGAGTGGACAACAGTTATCAATTCGATTAACGCGATGGGGTAGGCGGTTCCGCCCTTCATCATCTTCAAGGGCAAGCAGTACATCAATACCTGGTACGACGCCGCTGGCATAGAGGACTGGGTTATCAGCGTTAGTACCAACGGCTGGACGACCAACGAGCACGGACTCGCGTAGTTGAAGCACTTTAACGCGCATACGAAGATGCGTACCCAGGGCGCGTACCAAATGCTCATAATCGACGGCCACGAGAGCCACAACTCCGTCGAATCCGGAGACTACTACATAGAGCATAAAATTATCACCTTGCAGATGCCGTCTCATTCGTCGCACCTCCTCCAGCCGCTTAATGTAGGTTGCTTCTCGCCGCTGAAGCGCGCGTACAGTGGTGAGATATCAGGCTTAGCAGCCACCCGGGTCACTAAAATCGATAAACCAACCTTCCTATAGGCCTATAGGAAGGCTTATTTAAGGTGTTTCGAGAGGATAACATTAAATTATCCTTTCGAGGGGCTGGCTTGGTTCCATTCGACCCGCAGGTGGTGCTATCGCAGCTTAACGTGAAGCTTCGTACGCCCACCCCGCCCGCACCAGAGACCACTACCTGGGAGTCTAAAACACCTAGCAACGCGCGTGAATTAGAGGCCCAGGTTGAGCTCCTGTCTGACCGGATATGAAGGCATCGCAATTCGTCGCCTACAGAGATGCTTTCTCTATTCAAAACGCTCACAAAAGGCGCGACGATGATGGCGCACAGCGCGGCGTTGATCTTCGACGAACCCTCAGCGCTCAAGAAGGCCTCTGAGGCTGGAAACAAGCAGAAATCACGTAAAAGAAAATACGTGCAGAATCAGGGCACCTTGATGATAGGGGAGGGCAGTCAATTAGAACCTGCAGAAGGCGCTGGCGTTGTAGGCGGCGATGAACAGTCAGGGAAGAGGGTACGCTATCACCAATCAAAAAGGTCAACCCCTCTATTGGAATAGCTGAGAAGGCTTATATAGTTGAACACTCGGTCACATACGCGCGGAGGGCGCGTAGCGGGCGGTACGAACTTGCGGGCTCTGTAGGCAGCCAGGCCACGATCGGAGGACCTGTACGACTGAAGTATCAGATTGTTCAGATTCCGAATAATACTAGTTTATCCTGTATGACGCAGTATATTGTTATGTTGTAGGGTTCTACTACGTCTTTCTGCATGATGCAGTATTTTGGTGTTGCAGCTGGCCGACTTGGTAGTTTGGCCGACTTGGGATTGAAACACGTTATAAGCTATTAGAATTAACTCCTTACTAAAGCTAGTAGATTATTAGAGCTATATAGGACTTATATTAATAGTATTATAGCCTATTATAGTAAAAAGAATGATAAGGCGGAAACTAGAAAAGCTACGCAGTATGTTAGCTAGTTAGAGAGCAAGTTTTAGGTTAGTAGCTAGAAATAAAATAAAGTAGTAAATAAATAAGATATAGAAAAAATAACAGACTACTTAGTAATAGAGATATTAGAATAGAGTAAAAGAATTAAGGGAAAGAAATAAAGAGAATGTTTAGTAATAAAACGGTAAGCGTTTTAAAAATATTAAAAGTAGTAAATTAATAAGATAAAAAGCAATATCTAATATAAATAAGTATAAAGACTATACTAAGTCTAAAAAAAAGTTTCTAAAACTAATATTACTACTTTTATACTAAGCTTACGTTATTTCTAAGTTATTGTATAATATATATTAGAGAAGACTTACTTACTTTCTACTAATATTAATAGAATTAATAGAATATTAATAGCTATATAAAAGAGACAAAAAAAGTTATATTACTAAATAAAATTAAGCTACTAATTTAAGATAAAGCTTACTATTTTTAGTAAATAGCTTCTTTATTAATAAATTATATTAGCTAAGTATATTATATAGTAGAATTCATAAACTTATATTAATAAATTAATTAAATTTATTTGTAGTTAATACCTAAGCTAGCTTTCTTTTATAGTAGTATTTTTCTAATATGTTTTTAATAGTTTCTAAATTAATTAGCTATATTAATTTACCTAAAATAGCTATATACTTATACTTTTTTTACTAGAGTTTATAAGCTACTTTAATAGCTTAATTTATTATACTAGAATAAACCTATTTAATAGTTTTTCACTTATTATTAAAATATTTTCTATAAAAACAAAAATTAAAAAGTAATACTACTATATATACTAGTATTTAATTAGTAAGCTTATAGTACTTACTAAATATAAACTACATTATTAAAAGTAATATTAATAAATTAGAATGTTTTTTATACTTATTCTACTTTCTTTTAATGTAGCTAATTAAATAGTCTATTAATTTTAGTATTTAATTAAGCATTATGTTGTTGTATTTAAAAACTAATATTATTTTTATAAAAAGGCCTA